CAGAGCAGGGCACCCTCACAACCATTCACACACAGACCAAACAAAAACAAACTGCATGATAGATCGTAAATGATGGTCAAGCACATGTAATGCTACAAACATTAATGATTATTTATTATAGCTAGAGGTCAGGGGTCTGAAAAAATCCAGTATTGTTGTTTTTAAAGCAGACCTTTAAAGATCCACCGTTTGGTTCCAGAAAACTCAGCCGAAGAGTGTAGATCTGTCAGTGCCCTTGAGAACGAGCCTCTTGGCCACTCTATGCTTAGCGAAGAGGGGAATTTTAATCAGGATGCTTTAGTCCAGGAACATATTTGTCACCTTCCCAAAAACAAATACAAACAACACGACTCCCTTGAGTAACAACGCAATAAACTTTCCTCCCATTTCAGGAACACCAAAGACCTCCAACTGTCAGTGGAACTTCATGCGGTGTTAGGGCATAAATGGACTTCTGGGACATTTACAGGGTCGTGGGATTGAATCAGGCTGGCCTGAGTTTCGTGATATAGTTTATTGTGTTCACTACAGTTCAAAGTTTGGGGTCGGTTTTTGAAAGAAGTCTTTAGTCTTTATTCAAAAATACAGTAAAACAGTAATATTGTGAAATATTACCATTTAAAAACATAGCTGCACAAAAAAGGCATGATGAGTTATGCAAGCATGGCTGGGAGCATCAGACCAACTGCAACAATGAGTAATTAAAGACATTGTTTTGGATTCTTTTATGTAAAATTGCTGAAAAAGCAAATACAATCACTAGTGATACGATTTAATTGCTTAGCACTTTTGACCAATAGGTGGCACATAAAAAGTTTGGTGTCAATATGCCAAAGCAGGGCAGAGTTACAGCTTCAGAATCAGCTTGGCATCATGACAAGAAGTTCTTTAATGCATTATTTGAGAATGGTTTGGTGGTCTATCAAAAAGGTTTTAATAGAAGCCAATTTTGGTAAAAAAAAAAATCAGACCAACATTCTAGGAGGAATCGACTCAAGCTTAAGGAATCTTTCAAGACCAGTTTCATAAAAATATGCTAAATTAATCAAAAGCTATTCGCATTCTTTGAATTTCCATTATAAATTTAGTTCCAAAACTTTTTCAGCACATTCAGGGCATGGTGCCAATGACACACCAAGTTTTGTAATGATATGCAAATGCATTTGTAAAATACAGTATTTTACAACAAAATCCAAAATGTCCTAAACCAAAAATGGGAAAATTTGGGCCGATATGCGGGGAAAATTGCTAATCGACTCGTTATGATGCAATGAGTCGAAAGAAAGCCTACCAGTTTTATTATTTTGGCCAAATCGTAAAAAAGTAACAAAGCCATATTTCATATCTCCTGAAGAGTAGCACATGCTGAAATGCTGCACATAGCCTCAGGTTATGATGACATGTACCAAGATTCGTCTATATCTCCGCAGTACATTAAAGTGTTTCAGCGATATAGCCATTTTGATGTGCTCTTTGTCAAATTTGTTCACACATTATTCGAGAACGGTTTGGTTTATCAAAAAGGTTTTAATAACTTTTTGCCAACATGGTCTGAAGATGATGTGAGACAATTTTGGTGAAATCGGACAAACTATCTAGGACGAGTTATAAAAAGTAGTTTTTTTGGAAAGTTCAAAATGTCTGGAAAATTTTCCATGATGGAAAATGACGTTGCATTTGAAATCGTCTTGAGCCAAGGAATCAGAGGAAAAAATACATTTGGGCAGTTGGTGAAACTCCAAAAATGCTGTGGTTAATGTTCAGACTGTCCTTTATCTGTGTGCCAAATTTCATCATTTTCCCTCAAGAGCAGAAAAGAAGAAGAAAACGAGTGGATACAATAGGTGCCTTCGCGCCTTTGCTTGGCCCCTAAAAACAGTTTTCTGTTTTATTATATTTAAAAAGTTGATTTATTTATGTGATGGCAAAGTTGAATATTTAGGATCATTACTCCAGTCTTCAGTGTCACACGACCCTTCAGAAATCATTCTAATATGATGATTTGCTGCTCAAAAAACATTTATTATTATTATCAATGTTGAAGCATTTTTTGGAAAGCATGATACTTTTTTGATAAATAGAAAATCTATTTGAAATAGACATATTTTGTAACATTATAAATGTATTTGTCACTTTTCATCAATTTGATGGGTCCTTGCTGAATAATAATAATAATAAAAACTTAGAGACACACTTTTGATTGGTAGTGTAAGTGTGTAAAATGTGCTAATGGGATCAAAACCCTCTGCCATATCCAATCATAAATAAGCCAAAATAAAAATGAAATGCTGTCGGCAGACACTGTAAGTACAGAAGTGAAGTTTTCTGGGCAAATGGGGTGGGACTAAACCAGTTTTTATCAGGACGACAGAAGAAAAACTCACCATTATTAATGCACTGTGTTGAAAACAAGTGTATGTAGCTCAACTGCTATGGCGCTAGCAACCCCAAGCTCATGGCTTAGATTCCCAGGAAACTCACTGTAAGACGCTTTGAATAAAAGTGTCTCCCAAATGAGTTAAAGGCTGTGCGCAACAAATGAAGTGCATGTGAGGACCTAAATAGGTTTGTATTTGTTTCTTAACTGAATTTAGAACTTAAAACATTAGAACGTATTAAAATTACACAACAAATGTAAAAACCTTAATAAGACCATGTATTACACCTTAATGGTTAGTGTTTAAATTTTATTCTTAATATAAAAAGAGTGCAAATTCTGCACAATCTGCAAGGTTTAGTAAAGATCCAAAACAGACCATCTGTACATGAACATACTAAAAAATAATCCACATTTTGGGTTTCTGGTGTTGTAAGACTATGATGAAACACTGGGCCTGCTGCAGATTTACAAAAAGAATAAATAATATTAATGAATAAAACTCTTACTGCTTTGTGTTATAATGTAGCACCTTTACACTCTTAGAGGTATGAGGAATTAATTGAGACAGAAATGCATTCCCTTGCTTTATCGTGTGTGAATTTCCAGTGTTAAGAATCGCTTAAATAATAACAAATGATACTGCAAACAACTTGACTGGTAATATATTAAAATACAAAGTTGTCTCTGTATGTTTTAGGTAAAAGCACTTAGTTTGAAATATGGCATACAATAACATGCTTTGAGTGCATCCCTGGAAATAATGTGCTGTTTTATTTATTTTTATTATTGATAATACTGGACCAGTTTATCAGCTGCTTCATCCAAGCCTCAATTTCAGCACTGATTCCACAGCATAGCAGAAAATGGCAACCACTTTTTTTTTTGGTGATTCAAAAAGAAAGGTGATATGTAGCACTGGTTTTTCTCTTAAGGTAAGTGATCATGGGAAATATAGCCTTTTCAAGCCATTCTCTTCCACCTTCTACAAGTTCTGTGTTTACCACTGCATACTGACCCAGTATCATACTATTACTCAGTTTCTCTGACCAATGTTCAAAAGATGTTTCATGCTTCTGATGTTCTGAACTTCCTGATTTACACGGTTCTCAAGTCCCACTTCTAGAATTTTTGGAGCTAGAAGGCTGAATGTCCAGCAGGTGCAAGAGAACCTACAACGATCCTGCGAGCCTCTTTTTTGTCAGGATTGTCCCTTTCCACATGACTTTGAGCAGAGAAGGAGAACAGTAGGTTGTGAGAGGTGATTAGTGCCGCAACTCTTAATGTCCCGGGACACACATAAATAAGAATTCATATGGGTGAAATTGCATCCATCTGAACATGTATCTGTGAGAGAGCGAACAAAAAAAGACAGTCAAGATACTGCATTAAATACTGTTACCATTCTAAACATTATTACTATGTATTAAACGTGATATTTCATTTAGTATTTTGCAAATCTGAGCAGCTCACCTGTGTATGTTTGTGTCACATGAGAAGAGCTCTCATGGCAGATTTGCTGATACGATTACGTTGTTTTCTCCTCCTTTTCGGGGGGTGAGGAGGTGGCCTGTTAGGTTTGTGTGGAGGGAGATGTTGCAGAGGAGGGGATGTGGTTCCTGTTTGCAACAAAAGATAAAATCAATCTACCAGTACGTATATTCTATTCTGATTTTGCAGTGTTGTTCAGTATTGTTGTGTTGTATTGAATCCAACCACATTAGCCGTATTATTCTGCACAATAATATGCAATCCATATGGCACTGAACAAATTTATGTAGGCGTATACATGTGTTACTTTCTTTTCCTGATGTGTAGGTGTCTGGTCGAATATAAGTCAACTGAGATATATGTATAGGCATTGGCTGGCAGAAGATTTAAACTGAACATGGTCCAAATATGTCTTTGCTCTTAAACGCCATCTCTCTAGTTTTCATCTCACATACAAACTGCAACCCTGTAAATTGTTTCTGTGGAACATCTGCCAAGCCAGATCTGTTTATTTATTGATTTGAGTTTATATATTTATTTGACAAATACAGCTAAAAAATATTTGCAATAGCATAAATGACTAAATAAAGTGAACCTGGGGCGCTTTTGTTTTTTTAATGCAAGTTTAAGAAAAACCTTACCATGGTACAGAGATCAAATTTTAATTTAGAGGGCCATTCACATAGAAGACAAAATTCTTCTACTTCAACAACGTCTATTGATTTCTACCAGACAATGATAAAACAGGAATGAATGGAAAAACCTCATTATCTGTTCATTTGTGTATTTTACCGAGATGGTCCTCACTGCAGAACATGAAATCCACGGGGAGGAGTCGGATCCAGATCCAACTCCTCCCACCTTACATATACCTAAACCTACCCATCTCCGCCCCCTTATCCCTAAACCCTCCCCTAATCCTACCCATCTCCACCCCTTGGATCTTGATCCGACTCCTCCCCGTGGATCTCATGTACTGCATTGAGGTGCTACTGATTTTACCTGTCCGCTGTGTGGTTGTATAAGTGTGTTGTTGTTTATGATGGAGTTGCTGTAGTTTCTCGTCCGGCTGTATATTCGTCTGTTGTACTTTGAGGTGATGTTTGTGTTTCTGCTCATCTAGGAGTTTGTGCTGAAGCAGCAAGTCTTCCACCACCACCACCTCCTCCCCCTCCTTGGCCTTTCTGTCCATTTGTCTCTGCTCTCGCTCCACCTCCTTCGCCTCTACGTCTGTAGTCTCACCTCTCACGTTCGGACCATTCTCCTCTACATCTCCCAGATTCTGACTGGCTGTTCCTGTGGCATTGAAAGCAAGTTGGTCTGTCCGATTGGTTGTTCGCAATTGTTCTATTTCTTGCGTGAGGTTTGACTGGTGCTTAAAAGTCTGATTGGTTAATGGCCCCATATTATATTCAGATGTCTGATTGGTTGTACTTTGGTTGGCATTACTCTGTGATTCAAATTGCGTAGCGTTGTGCAGTGACGAATCAGTTTCTTCCTGCTCGGTATGATTCGGCAGTGGAGCCGTTGTTCCCTCTGCTGATGATGTGCCATTCGTGTTGCCGTGTCTCCTTCCGTCCGCAGGGTGACGGTGATTACTTTTACCCCCTCCATACTGCGTCTCGTTCCGAGCCCAGCCGTCACGGCCGAAATGGAAAGTGTCTGGTGCTCCCGATTCAGAGAACCTCTCTTTGGGCAGCCAACTGTGGCTGAGCAGGTCCTCCAGGCTTAACCTCTGGTTATGTTTGAGTTCATCACTGCGATGGAGCTCATCTTTGGGTCGAGTTTTTCCCAAACGATCCCGTGCATCCTGTTTTTGGCCGGATGATTTCCGCCGCTGGGCAGGCCGAGGAGCCGGCTGACAGCGGCACTCTACATGGTCGAGGACGGAGACGACGGCCTTATCGTAGAGCGGCCGCTTGTTCACGTACTGTATCTTCATCACCTGAGGATAAAGAGGAGAGGAAAGTGAAAGTGGTACATATGCACCCACAGAAAAAAGGTACAAAAGCTGTCACAGGGTTATTACCCTTTTAAAATGTACACCTTCATACCATGTTTACCGCTTAAATGGTGCATATTTGTATCTTAAAGGGGTCATATAATGGTACATGCACTTTTTCAAGTTGATTGTACTGAAATGTGTGTTGGCAGTGCCTGTACACAACCATCATATAATGATAAAAATCCATCCAGTGTTTTTGTTTTAATCTCCTTATATGTTTTCCCCTGCCTCAAATCGAGCCGTTCGACGTCACACGGACGGACGCCCCTCCCGCGATTGTTGATTGACAGAGCGTTTCAACACAGACCCGCCCTCGCTCGTGAGCCAGCTGTCAATCATAGTCTGCGCGGACCGGCGCGGTCATTGTTGATATGCTGGAGCACTGTCTATGAGCAGAATGGCGTCTAAGCGATTGTGGTGTTCTGTTCTTGGGTGTAATAACGAACACAGCAGTCATTTTAATGTTCCTAAATCCGAACCGCTGAAGACGCAGTGGCTGTGTTTGTTTTCGAAGGGAATATTCCACACGTGCAACGTCAATGCTTTCATGTTTGCGCGAATCATTTCTCACCAGACTGCTTTATAAACGAGGATCAGTATAAAGCGGGTTTTGCTAAGGTGCTGCTCATGAAAAAAGGATCGGTACCAGCTATCGTGTTCCTGCTGAACCTCTAGAACAACTGAAGTGAGTGTACCGTTTTATTAACCTTTATATTAATATTTATATCTTTGCAAATTGCCAGCTGCACGCTTCACAATGAATGCGTCTAAGGTTTACACTCAGGGTACATTACGGCATGTTTTCTATGTACGACGTTCTCAATATAATTCATAATCCAACGTTTATACTGAACAACGCGTTATGGTTATTGTGTTATAAACGTGTACGCACAGAACAGAGAGGCGGGGTGAGCAAAGCTCATGATCATTTAAAGGCATATCCACTGAAACGGCGTGCTGAAAACAGAGCTGTTTTTGACCAGGTAAAATAACTGTTTTCTTAGAATACTAATGAGAATTTTTAATTAAAGTATATTACAAACTTTTAATTTAGACCCTAAAGAATCATATTAGCTTGTACAAAAATGGCAGTATATGACCCCTTTAAAGGTACATAGCACTTAAAGTGTAGTAGGACCTAAATGGTACATATTAGTACACTTTGAAAGGTTACCGCCCCAGTGACAGCTTTTGTACCTTTTTTTCTGAGATTGTATGACAAGTACTAGGGCTGTAACAATATATTGTGTCAACATTATATCACAATACAGAAATGCAACAGTATGTGGATAGCGACTATTGTGACATGAATGTATTGTTACACCCCTAGTTAGTACGCAGTTGAAAAGTGTGTGTGTGTGTGTGTGTGTGTGTGTACCTGTAGGTATCGTGTGTGTGTAAGTACAGGAACACATTGCAGGCTCTTGGTGTTACAGCAGCCCGAGCACCTCTGCACCTCCACGCACGGAGGCCACAACAGGAAATTTGCATTGCTACGGTCCAACATGGAGCGTGTGACCTCGATGACCTCGGTCCTGACCTTACAGATGGCTTGCTGAGCGGGCTGAGCATCTGCAGACAAACACGGAAACACACAGACACAAATGAACTACGTGGAAAAACATATAGCAATCAGGTACTTGCTCACGGGCCCGGCGTCAAGGGTCTTTTGATTTCCCCCTATCGCAAAGATCTCAAGCCCCTCCATAACAATAGCAAAAGCCACCCATAGCAATTTCAACTGATCTTATTTTCCAATCTTATTTTAATAATAGAAGCTTTTCTGTTAGTATTTGTGAATTCACTTCGGGTGCAGCTTCTATTACTTGTGGTGTTCCTCAAGGCTCTTTTCTTGTTCCGATTTGATTCCCTTTGTATGCTTCCTTTGGGGTCAATTTCTAAGAAACACTGTCCATCTGCCCCTGGGATCTAACAAGAGGGGTTCGGATACTCTGTTGGCTTGTCTAGCTGACGTAAAGGTCTGGATGCCCTTACATTTTCTTCACCTCAATGCAGGCAAAACTGTGATTATAGTTTTTTAATCTTTAGAAGCTGTTAGCGCACCTTGTTTAAACTTTGGCCATTTGTTAACCCATTAGTGAGGAATTTGGGTGTGCTCTTAAATTTGACAAACAGATTAGTTCTGTGGTCAAAACCAGTTTGTTTTTTTACATTCGAGACCTAATAGCTAAGGTAAAATCATTTCTTTCTTTTAAGTACTTTGAAAGGGTGATCCATGCATTTATTGATTCACGAGATCACATTAGGCCTACCCTGGTTTGGCTTTCATTTCAAAACAATATTGATTGGCCCTGTCTGGTGGTGATAATGATGACTAATATGATGATAATGATGAAAATAACGAATGTTATTAATATTAAAACTAATGTTTTAGGGGGAATTAACTTACAAATGGCATATTTAGTAGTTTCTGCATATTAAGCAAGGATAGAAACGGTATTTAACACTGAAAAGAAATACATAACAAATAATAAAAATAAGAATAAAACAGATAATGCAGCAACAAGCCAGAAAAGAGAAGAAGAACAAAGAACTAACCCAGAAGACTGCGTGGCAGACGGTTGCTGGTGTCGTTTTCATGGTGACTGTCTGGCTCAACCTCTGAAGAACAAAATAACAGCAGCTTTCAAACATCATCAGGTAGCAAAAAAGTGGTGATGGCAGACCCTTGTAAGAAATTGCAACTTGTTTCTATTTTCTAGGGATGAAAGTAACAAGAGAACTGGCACATCACACCACACATTGGTTAAGGTTTTTTCTTTTGGTTTTGGAAGGGCTCTTTGCACAGTACATTTTGTCACATGAAGCTAAAGCACCTAAGTAACTCTGCATAAGAGTGTCTACTTAATGTCTTAATCTAAATGAGGACAACATACAGTTCAAAGTCAAAGACAAAAAGTTGCTTTGTAATAAGCATTCAATATGCATTCTATATTAAGTGTGTGATACTGGGGTTTTGTTGCCCAGTCATAATTAACATTTTTAATAAAGGACAATAATTGCCTCCAGGAATGTCAGAAGTATTTTGAGACTTTATAAAAAAAAAACAATTAAAATTAGTTTAAATTTGATTTGACAGCTACAGCACAGGTCACTTCAGTCACTAAAGCCATAAATTAGGCCTAGAAAAGAGTAAAAAAAGAAGATAACAGAAAACAGAGGAACTTTATATCCACACACATTGAATGTCTGTCTGTGTGCCAAAGAAGAATGACTCATGAGTCATGCATGAGACGTGCGTCTCTGTGAGATTTCCAGTACGTGAGCAATTTAAAGAGAGACGATTTACCTATGGATTCAGAAAACAGTAGAAACTGCAAGTCCTGAATAGAAGACACAGATCCACCCTTCACCAACTCAACCACAGCAGCCGGGAGAGGATCGGCCTGGAAGAGAGAAGAAAAGGGAACTAAAGCGTTAGAAATAAATATTCCATATTTAATATTCAATGTTTTTTGTTTTATTAATTCTTTCATTCAGCAAAAGTTCCATTAAACTGATCAAAAGGGAGAGAAAAGACTTTTAAATCATCAAAAAGTTCTATTTGCTGTTTCTTTTGAACTTTCTATTCATCAAAGAATCTTAAAAAAAAATGTATCACGGTTTCCACAAAAACATTAAGCAGCACAACTGTTTTCAACATTGATAATAATCAAAAATGTTTCTTGAGCATCAAATCGTCATATTAGAATGATTTCTGAAGGATCGTGTGACACTAAAGATTGGAGTAATGATGCTGAAAATTCAGCTTTGATTACAGGAATAAATTACATTGTAAAACAAATTGTATTTAAATAGAAAAGTTATTTTAAATTGTTTCACAATTGTACTGCTTTTGCTGTATTTTTACAGACTTATTTTATTAGATTTGAGCTGTAGTGTATGTAAAAATAATAACAATAATAATAATGATGTACCATCAATCAGTCAAGATTGCAGTTAACCCAGAGAGTGTCATAATGACCTATTGATTTATTTTGTTATCCTCCTTATATACACAAAATAAATAAATGGATATGCAACACTGAATTAATAATAATTAATAATAACACATTGGCTGATGCTAAACTTATCTCTAAATATGTTACAATTTAAAAGTAAATCCATTGTTCTGAAGGCGGGCATCTTTCCCCCATGTTTAACAACATTTGAGCACAGAATTCTGAATGACCAATCAGAATAGAGCGCATTTATAAACGAATGTGAATGTGGTGTGTGTTTGAGTGTGTGACAGTGAGACAGGGCGTTATGGATGCTGGTTTGTCTCAGGGTGTCAATGCAGGTCTTGGGGACACAATAGCCCTGTTCATACAGCATGTCCAGACAGGGGCCACTGACCCTCGTCTCCTCCGTCTCATCTGGCAGCATTTATGCAGGACACAGGAAAGAGGGCAGAGAGGAAGTGGGGGATGGAGAGATGGAGAAAAGGTGAGTTTGAGGAGAATAAAGAGAGAGATGGATGAGGGAGGCTATACCGGAAGGATGGAGTATTTCAGTAATCGGCGTGATAAGAGAAATCAGTCACATTACTGGCTGGTGATTCAGACAGTTTCGCATGGGCAGAACAAATGCAGGAATACAAGTGTGCCAGAAGTTAAGAAGCATCCTAAATGTACCGCACCTCTTGCGGTATGCACTTATAATTCAACAGAAATAGATGCATGGTGAATCACTGGTGTATTTTACACTCGTGGGAGCTCTGAGAAGCACAGTGATCCTGTTTTGTCCAAATGCATAAATCTCGTGAATCATCAGTTTTCCATTTTTAATTTCTTCATTACATTCTCAAGCGCTCTATCATCCGGCTGTGCATGCATGAACTTCTGCCAATACCACAGCATGATTTCAGTTCAGATCTATAGTGCACACCAGGGCATAAATAAGCAGGTAAACATTGTTTGGTCGTTGATGAAATGTTGTCATAGTGATTTCTTGATACCGAGCTCATCACAGTACAGACTGGTACAATGAAAACACAACATACACTACCGCTCACCAAGGCTGCATTTATTTCATCAAAAATATAGTAAAAACAGAAATATTGTCAAATAACTGTAACTGTAATTTATTCCTGTGATCAAATCTGAATTTTCAGCATCATTACTCCAATCTTCAGTGTCACATGATCCTTCAGAAATCATTATAATATTCTGATTTGATGCTCAAGAAATATTTCTTATTATTATTAATGTCGAAAACAGTTGTGCTGCTTAATATTTTTGTGGAAACCGTGATACATTTATTCAGGATTCTGTGATGAAAAGAAAGGCCAAATGAAAACATTATGCATTAATGCATTAATTTGAAACTGAGAATCTTTTGTAGCGCTGTAAAAGTCTTTACTGTGAATTTTGATTAATGTGTTCCCAAACTTTTGAATATGGCTACCCAATGTAAATATAAAGCATCACACAACAACAACAACAACACACACACACACACACGCAGACAACAGATGGCGTACAAAAAGTCCAAACACACAGATAGAAGAGAAGAGAAGAGAAGAGAAGAGAAGAGAAGAGAAGAGAAGAGAAGAGAAGAGAAGAGAAGAGAAGAGAAGAGAAGAGAAGAGAAGAGAAGAGAAGAGAAGAGAAGAGAAGAGAAGAGAATAGAATAGAATAGAAGAGAAGAGAAGAGAAGAGAAGAGAAGAGAAGAGAAGAGAAGAGAAGAGAAGAGAAGAGAAGAGAAGAGAAGAGAAGAGAAGAGAATAGAATAGAATAGAATAGAATAGAATAGAATAGACCAAGAGGAAATTTACATTCTCAGAGGTTGCCGTTTCAAAGCTCAGGAGATTTAATGTTGCTCTCATTTATGTATCATCTTCATCTCAGACATTTGTACTAAACAAATGAGGCCGTTTTTGACATACAGTGTACAGAAAAGTTGAGATCATTTAGCAAATTTTGGTAAATGTTTGAGTTCATATTCAGATTTCTGACTTTAGTTTGACTTTGGTGACTTAGAAAATCTGACAAAAGTTTGAGACATTTTTTTAGATCTCTCCAGAAAGGAAAGACATGTGATCTCTGATTGCATCTGAGACATTAAAGGATGGAAAATCCTTTTCCTAATGGAAAAGACTCGACTGATTCCAACTATAAAAATTAAATTAAAGTTGCAGATTTCATTAAAATAATGCAAGCAATTGAAATATTTAAAACTAATCAATTTAATTATATTTATTATATTATAAATAAAATAAAATTATTACTTTTATTACACAAAAAGCCAATTAACTGACACTTGCAGTCTGCCTCATCCAAACAAACCAATGGATTGGTGTGGGAGGGTGGAGTGTGTCTCTGTTGATCACCAGAGCTGAACGACACAACCCCTGGGCCCTGCTGCTATATCATCCGAGAGTGAAGGACAGGCCCAGAGCATTCTGGGATTGTGGAGGAGTGGTGGAATGCACAGGCAATGTTGGGGAGTAATGATACATAATTGCACATCTGCTGACAATGCTCTCTCTCTCACACACACACACACACACATGCCCATATCATCTACTAACATGTAAATGTGCACGACCATCAGTTTGTGTAGTTGCAAGAAATAATAATGCATGTCTGTTTTGATTTTTATCTGTAAATGAAAACATATAATCAAGTGAATGTGTCGTACTTGTCTAATTTGAACCTATAGTGAGATTTTCCCATCCAAATCACACATCATAAAGAGATGAAAAATGATGTTCTTACATGGGGAACTCCCAAAAAAAAAAACATCTTAAAGTTGAGAGAGATCATAATCACAGCTTTTAAATAAGTTTTGATCTTGCATTTCCATTCGAACAAGGAATTACATTTTCAGATTTTTTTTTTAAACATCCTTCCATGCAGTGAAAAAGGTACGTGATTTAGAGATGTCATGTCTTAAATTAACATTAATTCAATCTCTTATGATATGAATCTTATGATATGATATCTCTACTTCTATGGTTTTTTTGGGGGGAGGGGGGTCACAGAAATGTCATATTTTGATTGAGTGCCTGATGCAACACAACTGTGATGGTCAACGGAAGGGCAAACACATTAAAACCTGCAGATCTCGGGTGCTAAATGTCAACAATCCTTGGAGCACCGATGAGGATTGCAAGCTCCTGGAGCCTTCGGGAATCAGATCACTGATTCATTTAATAGAATCCGCCACATACAGCAGAGAATAGACTGCATGGGCACACGACTGTTACGTGTGACTTGCTTTACGTTAAAAAGAGTTATTAAGCGCATTAATCAAAACATCTCAATGTGACTCAATGAAATCTGATGTGTATCAATAGGATCCGTGCATTAAAGTGACAGCAGCCTAATACAGTAGACCCTACCTGCATACTGTCTGTCAAACAACAACAAAAAAGAGAAAATCACTCACTGCTCTTAACTGAACAACTTTTGTAGCTTTAATATGAATCAGTGTATATTCAATTCATGGAGTTGTTGGTATTTCATTTTTGTCTTTCTAAAACAATACCATTCACTTTCAGAAGTTGTAGCGATGCTTTCTTTTGAATGTGAAACATATGTTGGTTATATAATTTTCAGTTTTTAATATATTTAAATATAATTTAAATTGATTTACACACTTAAAGCATATCATATTGCATATCAAATATCACATTATTTCCATACAGGACATCTGTCAAACTACAAAGAGTACAAAAAAAAAACGTAATAAGTACTCCGTAAGACTCTTGTGTAATATTCTGAAGCCATTCAGATTGAAATTTAAAGATTCTCTAGAAATTGTTCCCTTTGGAAAAAGCTCTGAAATCTCATTTGCCTTTATTTTAAATAAATGCGACAGGTTTTGTCAGGTTTGATGTCATTGACAATGTCAATTTCTATTGGTCAATGAGTCATAACAAACTATGCAACAATTCTAATATCTGAAATCTAGAATGAGATTTAAAAGTTGCAATTGAGGGAATATTTTCAACATTTAGGTTAAAACATGTAGTCGCATCTTGCCTGTTTTAATAACATTTAAACAAATTGTTGCTTCTGAAGAGGGTTGCTATAAACCTGACTCACCAGTTCAAATATTTGAAATTGAAAATGCAAGAGAGCTACAGCAGAGGGGAAAATACTTTAATTTTGGCTTGTTTCCCAACCCAGACAGCATAGTGTCGGCCCAGATCCGGCCCACATCTGGTACGTGTTGATTTCACATGTACCAGATGTGGCCCGGATCTGGGCCGACACTACTGTCTGGGAAACAAATCTATCATGTGGCTCCAAGAATATGTGTCATATAAAACACGTTTGCCTGCTTTTGTCCTTTTGGAGGCTTGACATGTGGTCACCACTAACTCTTAAGAGGAACAAAAAAAAATTGTTTGGAAAAACATCAGGGTGAGTAAATAATGACAGATTATTTATTTGGGATGTATATCCCCATCAAACAAGTCATAAATTAAAAAAAAAAACGTACTACTGTGTATTGTTAAAGAATCATAAGAATGCATCAGGAACCAATGAACTCTCACATAGGAAATTGAGATTCATTAGAATGTCCATTGAGACGCTCTTACCTCCGCACTGCCAAACCGCAGACACGCCGCCGCAAGTACCGCGAGAAGTAGCGGGATCCGCGATCTCATCTTGCTGCCGTGCCGCTGCGGGGCTCCACGGGACAGCGCGCATTTAGAGAGACGCTCACGAGACGATCAGCACTGGGCTCCGACTCGCGAGCAAATATCGGGTTAATTAAGCAGCAGTTTGAGTCCCTCAGCGGCTCTGCAGGCTCGACATTCCTCTCAGTGCGCAAACATTCAAATTGCCCTCCACGGCAGAATGAGTCTCTTTTCTGAGGAGCAAGTGGCCCATTTGAAGTCCTTTGAAATGCAGTTTGCGGATTAAAGTGAAGAGGGGTTTTTTTTCCACCAAAATCCCGGATTCCTCAGCTGGCGGTTATTTAATCATTCATTTACATGGTCCATTCCAATAACAGCTCTTATTATTATCTGAGAAAACTGTCATCTAAAATATCTGCTCAGTCATGGAAATAAAAAAAAAAAAAAAAAAAAAGTTATATAAATGTTTTAGCAGTCAAACAGGATTTTTTTTTAATTAAACAAAAACGTATTTTATAATATAAAGTGCGCGTGCGGTCCCTTTGTTTGGTTCAAAATTACCACAATTAACACCGTTGATTAAGTAGCCTATAAAAAAAAGTTATATATAAAAAAGGTTTTCAAATCCAAGATGTTCCATGTGTAATTCACGAGGGTCCCTTCGTCTTCGCATTGCCCCTAATGAAAGCGACATTAATGGAAGTTAAATTAAAACTCTTGGTCTTGCAGTTTTCTTATCAATGTCTAGCGCGTGCACGGCCCCGCGCGAGCTGTCTGTGCGGTGTTGATTATGGGACTGTGGCTCTGAGGAGGATTTCAGGGGTCTGTATGTGGACTCTTATCTTACCCTCCCCTTAAAGGCAGGGCTGCACTCACTGAGAAGGAGAGAGAGAGAGAGAGAGAGAGAGAGAGAGAGAGAGAGAGAGGATGGGAGGTGAGTGAGGAGCTCAGACGAGGTGCTGAAGTCTTGTTACTTCAGTGGATGAACACGTTTTAATGGTAGAAACATCATTTAGATGTACATATGCATGAGAACCAAAAGAACATTTTATTATGTTTATTATGTTTTCTTATGTTTTCCATTTATACCACTGAAAATATAATATATATGTACTCACTCAAGTTTTGCTTGCTTTTTTGAAAAACTTTTGCAAAATATTCATGCTGATGCTGTTCTTATAAGCATTCAGCTACCCCATGACACATTCACTATATTCCAAGAAGGCCTTCAATAGACCTATATTTTATGTCATACACTAAAAATCTAGCTCACAAATGGCATTTGCATATTTACAGTATATTCAAACGTGCACTGCCAATGTCATCAATAGCAATGCCATTACTTATTGCATGTCAGAATTCACTTCATACAGACATAAAAGTTATTTTTACTTGAGATGTTCTTTTATAAATTTGCATGATAATGCAAGAAACATTCAATTCGCATCTTTGAAAAAAATAAATGTATAAAGAATGACATAAGCATCATATGAATGTGATGGTGGCTGACATATTCTCTCCAGCCAGTGCACTTTTAAATGTTTTCACAGCATTGCCCATGGTGATGGAATCAAAAGGTGCGTCTAAATACCAAAACTTTTATGACCTTAAATACCAAAACTCTAAATCTTATGACCTTTCAGATTTGCACAATGGGTGTCCGAGTTATGAAACCAAAAGGGTCGGCAGCCTAAAACGAAGGTGACAGGAACAGCTCTGTTATACATAATGTAAATCTTCATGCATAAGTAAGATTTATTTATTTTTCCCACTACAAAGAACCGGTTGTAACGGATGTTAAAGGTTTTTTATGGAAATGTAAATACCAATGCAGAATCTTTATTATGAGAGTGTGATGCGAATATCTTGAGGTGAGGATCTTGAAGTGCTGTTGCTTCAGCATGAAGGCCTGAAACACTTTTTAAATGAGAATTTTAATGTGAAAATGACTCAGAACAAACAAATCTCTTGTATTAAGATCCAGATTTAAGAAAAGATGCATGGTTTATGCTCATACGTGATCAAAATCATGTTGCACCAACTCATTTAAAATATATAAATTAAATGATAGTTTTCTAACAAAGTTCATATATTTGTCTAATACATTAATAACAAGCCTTTAAGCATAAACCTTTTGAATGGTCTACAAAAAAAAAAAATCCTGATGTTTAAAGGAAAAAATACAGAAAAAGCAGGAGAAAAAAGTTGCTGCCTTACATTTTTAAGTACAGTCATCTTGGATGCTTAAGTCAATTCAACTTAAATTACATTAAATTGACTAAACTATTTTTTTTAATCTTGTAACAAAAAAATTAGAAAATTGTTTAACTTATTTTGATGAGTTAAAGCAATGTAAAAAAAAAAAAACTTTAAAAACCAAAATAGCACTTTAATCAACTGACCTCAAATTGTGTATTTAAAAAAAATTGCACTTAAAACCAAAAGATGTTAATGAACCACGTTTATGAGCAAAGTACTAGAAAAATGTGTGGGCAGCTGCCAATGGCCTCAAACAAAAGAGCACTGTGGTCAGACAGAGCGATGAGACCCATCACTGACACGCGTGTGTGAGCAGATATCATCTGTCTTATTAGGAAAAGGACAGGTCAAGAGGTCAAGTGTGAACAAGGCTGGCTGGACAACCTCTCGCAACTAATCCAATCTCTCATTCATCTCTCTGCTCCCGTTCTGTTCTTCTCTTTTCCACAGAATTGTGCAGCGTTCATCTTTTTATTCACTATTCATCTCACGCTGTAACTCCCACACTCCCTCTTTCTCCTTCCATTTCTTTGTCTCCCGCTTCCTCTCTCCTTCTCCACCTCCTCCCTGCCCCCCTATCATCCTTTCATCCTTTTGATATTGCACTATTCCTTGGTTTCTTTCATCTGTAATATGTACCCATTTGTTCAAGTCTGTTCATGATTATGTACTTCTCTTTCCGTCTCTCTGTACATGCCAAGCTTTAAACAAGTATTTCTCTGTCAGAAAGGCTTTTGGAACGCAGTCAAACAATTATATGTTTACTCATTTAGATCATTTTATTTCACATATAGTGCTGTAGAAATTGCACACTTAAACAGGACATTTAAATAGTTCCTAAAGTGTTCTGAGTGGCTTTAAGTGCGTTGCTATAAGACTGTCAACAGTTTTAGTGAAAGAAAGAACAATCCCATAATTGCTAATCAAATTAAAAACTATTGAGAAATATAAAACTATTTAAAATGTTGATTTTATATACAGTATATGTATATATAAACAATGTAAGTTTATTGCAAAATATGCATATACATTTAAACACTGAGAGAGAGATAGACTCAATTACGACATTCTCAGTGCTTCATGGGAGCTGAAGAGATCTTTTGGTGCGTTTTGCTTGTTTCGACTCTGATTGGTGAAATTTTCTGTACAGCATCATGGGCAATGTTAGCCTGGTTAAAACCAGACCATTCTCAGTTGTAACTGAGTTATGGTCAGGCAAAGCGTCATAGACAAATCATTTCCAGAGGGGCGTCACCAACGGACGTCGCGGATAGACCTAAAACCAATCAGAGCGATGAAGGAGATGACGTATGCAGAGCGGCGGAGAAACATCTCAGAGTGTTGTTCTTTGCTCGGTTTTTAACAAAAAGGAAACGTTCAAATCGCTTAAAACAGACGCGATAGCTGATTCGAACGAGTGATGTTCGACGGCGGCATCCATCTTTGTAATGTAGGCTAAAATCTGCTTCAAAATCCCAGCGCTGTCGTCATCGTGTAAAGCCCGCCCCAACGTTTCTGATTGGTGCCGCTATTTCGACGGATTGGAAATGGGCTTGAATGAGCTCTTTGCCAGACTAACTTTCAGAGCAAATCTAAATTTGCCGGAAGTTGTCTGGGTTTTCCCAGGCTAGGGCAATGTAGTTTTTCACCACAAATTCACTGTAAAAAATTATATGATCAATAAGTTGTGACAACATATGTTTTTACATTGCTTTAACTCATCAAAATAAGTTAAGCAATTTTCAACTTTTTTTTATAAGTTAAACAAGATTTAGCTAATTTAAGTCAATTTAATGTAGGCCTAATTCAAGTTGAAATGACTTAAATATCCAAGTTGATTGTGCTTAAAAATTTAAGCAACTTTTTCTTTACAGTGAATACTATGGATTAACAACCTTGTTGCTCACAGTGAGGCTGTCTTTAATGGTTGTACGTTATCATTAAAAATCAATTCCCCAATGGAGAAAATGAAAGGAGTTCTTACTTATGGAACCCGACGGATCTCCGTTCAGGAGAAGTTCGCCCTGGCTGGTAAACACCTTCGAACTACCATTGGTTAATCCAAATTACGTAATAGGTAGGTGTGGCTCTGAGACTCCGCCTTCTTTAATGTGGAAATATCATCTGACCCTCGAGGTCGAACACAAGTACATATATGAACTCACTGGAGAGCTGTATTATAGCTGAAACTTTGTTGTAATTCTAATTGAAATCAACAGTGACACTATTTTTTAATGTTAAATACTGTAAAGCTGCTTGAATTAAAGCAATAAAGTGCTGTATAAATAAATGTGACATGACTGGAGATTGTGCAAACATATCCACATCGCTATACGATCAGATGCTTTCTTAACTGCTGTTTTCACACTGCTTTTGTGTTTTGGTTATTGAAAGGAAACCGCAGCATATATTTAGCCTACATATTTTTCTAAATGCGAAAAAATTAAAAAGAACATGGCTGTGTTTATATAGAACCTTATATAGGCCTTACTAGCATGGCTCCACGAATAATTGTTCAATCAAAGCTTAATTCACGAGAAATTATGCTGATTATTTACCATCATAATCATTGTGATTGGTGCGCTGTCTTGCTGTGATGTCATCATGACCATCTTAGCTCCGGGACAGGATGCTGTACACGAGTAACAGCGGGGCTCAATGAACCGGATAAAGACCGGAGAGGAACACTATTGTTCAGAACTGCAGAGCCATTACAGCACAAAGCCAGCTGTTGGGACTCATGGGTGTGTTCACTCACAGTCCGAGTGTGGCAGATCGATTATAAACGCCGTTCAGAACTCTATCTAGTCCAGTGAACATGGTCATGCACAGAAGTCTAGATCAGTGTTTCCCCGCAGCCCCCTCATAAAGCTTCAGCAACACCAAACCAGAAATATACTCCTTTTAACTTAAATATTATACTAGATATAGATATAACTTTACCACGGATATTATTCAAATAGATATTTTTATAATAATTCAAAAATATTATACTAGATATTTAACTTCTCCACAAATGTTATTAAAATAGATCTTTTTTTTTTTTATAATTCCAACAAAGCAATCGATACTGAAGTTTGAGAAACAGACTCACACAGTAGATTTAAATTAAAGATGTTTAAAAATCCTTAAAAGATAACTTAATGTTAGGATTTTCATTGTAAAATAAATAAAT